TATTTTTACGCTTTTGAAATAATAATACGTCAAGTGAATGTCATGTTTACAATTAGCTTCAATACGTTTGCAATACGTTATATATATATATATATATGAAGTACATATAGAGTAATAGTGAGGCGGCTCTGATATGGGCCTTTTGCCATTCCATTGCCTCACTATTGTGAACACTCGAGTTAATGGTTGAAAATGCTAATGCTATAGAGCGAAATGCTTTCTTCCACGCTAATTGTTACTTCTATTGTAGAACAAAGCATAGTGTAATGGGCGCAGTGACAGCTATCGCTCTGCGTGGAGAGGGTCACCAGTTCTTTGTGGCCACGGACAAATGCCAAATTTACCGTTTCGATGGATCGACATTCAATTTCGAACTCATCAACTCCTGTCATTCGTCGCCAATTAACGATATCGAATTTCCTGAGTAAGTGTTGATTAATTTAATATTAGTATATTTCCTATCATTTCTATTTATCTTCTCTTCAGAAATTGCTCTGATTTGTTCGTCACATGCTCTTATGAGGATATTCGAGTGTTCCATACACCTAGCCAGCAGGAACTTCTGCGTATCAACATCCCAAATCGTGTCTGCTTCTGCATTGATCTCGTGAATGATGGAACGGCCATTGTTTCAGGTATAATTTGCTGTGTACTGCCACGTGATTGTAATAACTCGATTCTGTAGCGGATTGCTACCTTAGTAAAGCCTATGGTTAAAGACTTGTAGCGGATTGCTACCTTAGTAAAGCCAGACCGGTTGAGAATTGTAACGGATTGCTACCTTAGTAAAGCCTGACCGGATTGCATTGTAGCGGATTGCTACGCTAGTAAAGCCTGACCGAACAGAAATCTCTATGGCAGATCCTTCTACATCTAGCTAGACCCCCAGAACCAGCTAAGCTTTAGCCCAGCTATAAAGGAAACAGACGTGTAGAACGGAGCACTTTTACTCAGGACGTATATTGCGGATCAAGTGTGTTAGCTATTCACCTCAGATCAGGATGGGGGATTAGGTTAAACAGAGGTTGATGATTGATCAGGATGGGGGATTAGGTTAAACAGAAGTTAATGATTGGTCACTGTTTGTATGGTCACTGCACACAGTTGTACGGCCGCACCTCCCGATCCTGGCGAGCAGACATGCAGGCAAACGATGACGCACACAGTGATAACGTGTCCCACAATTCTCTTATACTTTGGAGCCAATAAAATTAAAATTGTTTAATTCAATTTTGTTTTAATACTTTTGTGATAAGCAAGTCAGAGGTCACTAATTCAATTTCCTTCGGCACACAACTAGTTTATTTTTCCTTAATCAAAGGATGACGAAATTAGAGCTCTTCCCACTGAGGCCCAAGATCCCACTTTATATCCGAAATATGTATTTAAAAATTTCCCTATATAGAGTAAAGAGTTTCTTCTCTCGAATATTTTGGCATTTATTAGCTCAAAATTCTTATTTATTTAACATATGGATGCTTCGAAAATTGGATGTTTTCAATTTACTTGATTGCATAAACACAAATGAATTGAATTCACTTGCAGTTAGCCTTTGGAGCCTAAGGAAGTAAGAGAGTAAACTTAGCCGGAGTTAACACTTTCGATTATGATGCTTCGTGAGTTTTCATCTTGAGTGAACACAGTTTATGAAGTTCTGCTGACAGCAAATGTTTTAACCATTGGAAAAAGAACTGAGTTAATGAAGCAAGATTGTCCCTTCATGATTACTAATACCCTTCAATAAACACTGATCATCAGGGAAGGCATTCCTCACAATTCAAAGAA